AGTTTGTAGTCTAAATAGCATGTATAACTGTGTTTTGCTGTCAAACATGCAACCTTGTGATAACAGGAGATCGCCGGAGAGCTCTCTGAAAACTTCTAGGTCAACAGAATAACTTCAGAGCTATCGTGGTGACAACAAAGCCTCCTGAAGAGTTGACATTTTGGTTAACCTGGTAACAAAACATGACGCAGGATGTGTATGGACAGGTTACATTCGGTCAAATGCTGCAAGCTGACACTTTGCATTGTACTTTATCCACATATATATATGTATATATATTGACATCTGTTATTTTACCTTCTGGGGTGCATTGATGACTCCGATGTTATAGCCAAAAGTGAAAGATCCCAGAACAGCAGTGAATACTGAGAGAGCGAGCGTTCCAGTCACCGTCTGCAGAGCAAACACACCCAATGAGAGGTGAAACCCGACGAAACGCCAAGTTTTAACACAGGGAGTAAGGCCAAGAGTTGCCTTCATAACTCTGAGTCAATGACAAATAATCCGGAAGGGATTAGTTTGAACACACACACACTCATATCGCCGCTTAGCTTATATCAACTATATATAACTGTGATCCTGATGAGAGACAATCCCTTTGGTGCTGTCCATGACTTCACTGGCCACTCGCCTGAACTTTTGCTTCCCTCCAATTTTCCCATCATTCCACGGGCACCTGTTTCCACGGTGACAGATGAGATGACCTTGGGGAATTTCAAATCCTCCCCTAGAGCAGAGAGTGTAAGTTTCCACAAAAGGACCACCCTCTAAGCAAGACACCGGTCGGACGACACTGTGCCTGAAAACCTTCATGTGGATGGAGTGTACTTGTCTGGAAGCTTAAACCTAAATTTGCCTGGGAAGAAATGCTGGATCTATCTGCCTTCAGGGTGAAAACAAGACCTCCCGAAAAAGTGTCATTTTGGTGATTTAGGCTCGGTCCAAATAAAAGAATGAAGACTATTCCTGAGAGTTATTTTGATTCAAATTACCTTTGTCATAGATAAAAATGTCCAAAACTTGTTAATGTGTGCCGTTTTAATCCATACGATGTTTAATGATAAAATCCCAGTAATTCACATTTATAATGGCACTAAAATCAGGAGGAACTTTAACATTTGACCAAGCAGTTGAAGTCCCAGTAATTCTGCATTGCTGATTCTTGACCTTGCTATGTTGAGTCTTTGGATAAGTGCTGTTTAGTATTCAGAAACCAAAACAGACGGGTGTGTGTTTGCGAATGTGTGCATGTCCTCAGGAAAGGTTGATAAGCAATCAGTTCCCGTTTGCTGAACATGAACTGCATTCAACAAAGGCACGATGAATGCGCAGTAACTGAATTACCACTTATTCATAACTAATCAGGAAACTGTACAAACCGGGGAGCTAAGTCACTGTATATCCCAGTTATAACTTCATTGTCTGTGATTTCCACGCTGTTATAGATGTACGTCTAAAGATGAATAACTGCAGTTAAGTTTTTTACCTAAAAATAATTAATTTGTGCAAAACGGTGCCCACAAATTCATTGTCACCTTTATGGCACCACACAGCATTTTGAGCTCCTTTTTTTCAGGATCAGGGGCCTCTGAATAACCCGTAATCTCAGTATCATCAGAATATGACACTTCACCAGCTTCACCCTCATCTACCTGACCTAGAAAAGATTTCTCCAAAATAGCTACTTATGGTGGTAACCATTTAGACAAAATGGCTGATGATCAATGGGTAAATTAAGATATTTGACTGATTGAGGTTGATTTGACTTTACAGAACACATTTATCCATTGGCACACACATGCGCACATATACACACAGAACTTCATACAGCAGATCTTTACTCTACAGTACTCGCAAAGATTTTTTCCTCTATTACACAAGTCTAAACGAACAAACACCATCTAAACTTTGCTTTAAGAAACCTTCACGATAGTTTTTAGTTTTATTAAAAATCTGTAGGACTGTAGGATAAATAAAACACATTTCAGAGAACAAAAAGCGTAAAGTACGTCCGTGCGTAAAATCTTGGCACCGAAATACGCACGGGCTAATCCAAAATCAGAAGCTTTTCCTGCCACACAAAACTCTCCCCATTAATCCATTGAGTAACGATACGTTTCATGTGTAATAATAGAACAAATGAAAATGAAAAAGTACCTCCCCCCCGAGCTGCTGAAACCCGGCCGGCATGATTGTGACAGCTCCAGGCACCGGTGGCACTTGATGACAGACGCGTCTGGTGCCAAATGGAGAAGCACTACCGCTTAAAACCTCGTGACCCTCAGCACCAAAAACCGGAGATTTGTCAAATCCAATATAGAAGCCCGGGGTGATGAACCTCGCGCGTCCTGTCCGGCGGGTCGTCCTCCCTTTTTTGAAGTTTGTGTTGTCCGTCCAGCTGGGGGATAGAGTGAAACCCACGTGTGACGCCCCTCTGATAGGCGGGGAGGGGAGAAAGAAAAAAGGTGAGGGAGGGAGGTCTGATCTTGAGGTCCGGCGACAGAGGTCGAGACGCAAGCAGGAAGCTATCTTGACCTTATCCGTCATTGGCCGAAGTGGAAGAGCACGTGTTAAGCGAGAAAGCTGGGGTGAAACAGAAGAGGAGTCAGGTTATTATCACAAGAGAAGTGATGTGCATGTGAACAAATCCAAAATTAGTTTCAGGGCCCGCATTCGTGAGCTCTGTGAAATAATGCCTACAAACTGTGCACCAAAATTACTGGCAAAAGAAAAAGTTTTGTCTCACAAGGTGCATGGTCTGCAATCTGAAGTGAGGACAATCCTTTATCTACTGTTCCCTTTTTTACAAGTATGAGGGTCCCTCTTAGGAAAAAAACGCACAGGCTATGGAGTTGCACAGGTGTTTGGCATCAAGCAAACTCGGGTCAGAGTCCAGCCCCATGAGTCAGCTTTTCTCACCTGCTGCGACGAGGGGCTCGTCTCTACCACGCTGGTTGCCATTGTCTGTCACCCCAGCAGTCTTAAATCCCTTTCTATTTCAGATCGCATGCCAACGAGGTCACACACTCAACTTCACCCCCAACACTGCCATCCCTGTTCCATAACCAACCCCCCGGCTCCCTCTCTCCTGCACACAACAAAGCCTAGCCCCCCCAGAAGACAACAGGTGGATCCTAAATTTGGGTTGTGGCACCTGAGTTCGCAGTGGGGGGGGCGTGGTCAGGGAAAGTTTGAAGGGGGACAACAAATGGGTGTGTTGTGGGAGGGTTTGGGTGAGTGGGGAGATCTGCGGCAGCCCTTTGGAAAGATGCTCTGCTCCACATCACTCAATAAATTAAGTCGGCCCCGCCCCCTTGGGGCCACACACCCACCTAATGCCGCCCTCTCCTTGGAGCTCTCGCCGCCTTTGCTTTTTTTCCTTTTGCTGCCCGCGTTGCGAAACAGTGGGACCATCTGACACCCCTCAGCAAAAGCCAGGGCCCCAAGCAGAGTCATGTGTGACTCCGACTAAATGCAGAGAAACCTTACACCATCAGAGCGGTGGTGCCGGGCCCCCGGCAACACTGGAGGCTCTGAGTGTGCGACCCACAGGAGGACTAGACAGTCCAGGAGATATCGTATGAATTCATACAGAGAGAGCCAAGAACACTGAAGGAGGCACAAGTTGAGACTCGGAAAAAGATATAGATATACTAATACACACGGGCCATCACATGGTCCTAATTATAACCAGAAACACCCACTCAGCTGCTATTTTGAAGCACAAAATATCACACAAGTTCTCTCCAAAGTGAAAATTCCACTCAGTGTGTGTTTAATGATGATCTGGTTTAACAAAGCCACTCCACCACCAACACAAACGCACGCAAACCACGTGACCCCTCTGTAGTGATGCAAAGGAACTGCATGTGTAAATACCCTTCCTCCTTGTCATGCCCTATATATAAGATGTGTGTTGTCGGTGGGTTCAGCTGGTTCAAAATCATGCTACAACGAACTGAGTCGCGTGATGGGTGGCAGGTGTTGAGCTGTACGTGTCACACTCCCACATCAATCTGCACCATTAGTCCAGTTGTCTGCTGGGAAGAATTCAGAGATCATGTGATCAAAAAGTTAAGCAACAAACACAAGGAGAAACCTGAAATGACATGCATTGGTAGTTGGTACTGCGCATATTTTATATCCTCTCTTTTTAACTGCAATGTTGTCTATTTATTTTACAATTGTAGAAAAATATTCCAGTTAAATAGTATTATTGTTGCAAATAATCAAAATTTCAGAAACTACTCTGGAGTCAATTTAAACTCATCAGTTGCAAATGCAAGTTTTTTAAGTCTTTGAATGCACATACATGGGGAAAAGCAATGCAAACTCCACAGAGAACGCCAACCGGTCACGATTCAATATCACATGTTTTTCTAAGCTGAACAAAAGTTTATTCTTCAGTGGAAAAGTCATTTATTGATAGTGTGTACAAAAAAAGTAGGAGATAAACACATTTGCCAGAACAGATAAAAACTAACAAATCAAGTGTTCACTAACATTAATTGTATGCCTAGGAGTGGAATGATGACCCCTTGTCTCATCGCTAAATTCTTTTTTTTTTCCAGTGAGGGCTGTGGTAGGTCTTTTTCTTCCAACCTGTTACTTGTTCTGTAGCCATTGTCTCTTTCACCCCCACCCCAGGAAGACTGTCAGTGTGAAGCTTCAGGGTAGTAAAAATGTGCGAGAATACTGGTTTCAACAGCAGTGACAGCTTCCTTCAACAGTGTCTTTTAGCTTCATATTAATCAAGGGACGCTTAACCTAATGTCACAGAAGATGACTGGCATAATTCCCAGCACTTTATTCAACTTAGCACTGTAAGAAAAGATGCACGATGTTGCTATTATACTTATATCTAACTTGTAGTTTAACAATACGGTATGGTTCTGAGACAGCTATATAAGTTCTGGATGATGCTCTTGACTAACTTTGCAATAAACTAATTTCAAGCAAATGATAAAGGCCCCTGGGGGTATTATTGTCCTGTTTAAAGATTAGATTTGTCCGTCAGCGGGAGTAGCATTGTGGTCCCACAGTAATAGCAAGCACACAGTGAGAAAATATTAAATTACACATAGCATGGGATAATGTATGGTATGCTGCAACATTATGAGAATAAAATAGTGGTCTGTTAAACCTAGATATTGTAACTATGTGCACAGCCCCCTGGAACAGGTTCAGAGACGACTCGCTGACTCCATCAGTGCATTCACTCAAAGGTCATACAGTCACAGTTCCCTGAAGTGACTCCAGGACCTGCCATACAATCAAAGAGATGGATTACGACCAACACACACAGGGGAATATTTGGAGGTGTCTCCAGAGAACTGTTCTTGATGAGCCACTGGCTCTGTTGCACAGGTTAAAGCAGCTCCAGGTTCAGACTACAGGGGCGCAGGAGTCCCATTCGCTCGGGAGCGAGTTCATCCAGCCTGTTTGGGTAGATCATGAGAACACCTCAGAACGCAGATGTGGGAAATCAATTTATTTAAACTTAAATTCTGGTTGTAACTCAAAGTTATGTATTATTTGTTGACAGTAACATGTCACCATCTGTTGCTTTCAGGGGTTCGTATGAATGTGCCCAAATTGAGTGTTATGCCTCATGAAACTGAGTAACTTTGCAACCAGCGGTGCCTTTTTCAATTCAGTTTTAAATTTGGAGTAACAACAGTCTTAACTTAACTAGGAAGCAATTTTCTCTGTTCTAAAATATCAAAATTTTTTGTTTACACTTGTGAAATGTGTGGTGTATTGTCTTTTTAAAATAAAACTGTTTGTTATAGAACATGTAAAAAAGAAAGTGATTGTGCTACTTATGCTTGAAAGGATTTTAAAGTTAAAATAAATTCGATGACATTTTTTTAAATACAACAATCCCATTCGACTTTTGACTGCATCCATTATTGTTTTTACCAATATTTCTGATTACATTGAATGTGGCATTTTTCGTCACATTACATCAGAAAAAATAATCGCTTCTGATTGGACCGCCCATGCAGATAAATTCGGCCCCTCCCCTTTCCTGGTGTGGGATTCCCCGACAGCGTGCTAGGCATTAGCAACAAAATATTTTGGCTTTTCCGACGGTTTCATCTCTGCTTGACAAATACATGTGAGTCACCCCCGTAATGTCACAGCAGGACGTTTAAAGTAGCCGTCCTCCATTTCACACATCGAAGGTTACAGTTACTTTAAAAGTTCAATTATTGAGTTTTTTTAGTGAAGTTTTGTAGCAGTTTAGCTAGCTACGGTGAGTCAGCCGATTCAACGTTGTGCTAACGTTTATTAGCTTGTTTATTAGCCTCCTACAAAACAATTGAAGTGCTTTCGTTACTGTTGGTAGTAATTAGGTTATTTTACTATAAAGTAACGTTTAAACATAACTCCCTCGTAATAACAAATCAACAGACGAAAAACTCGCGATAGTTTCATTTAATGTGATGTGGGCCTCTAGTTTCACAGAAAATGGACGAGGTCTATAGTTGTGTGGTGGGGGAGTTGTTGTTTTGCTGCTGGGATTTAGAAGTTTAGATCCATTTACCACAAATTATATCCACGTGGTTCTTTTTCTAAAAAAGTAAGCTCTACAGTTATGTTGTAAACTTTTAAGGTCTTATTTTGATTGTAAAGCCCTCTTATTGTTTTGAAAATGGTCTTTAGTGGTTGGTAATGTACATGTTTTAAAATATACTGATATTAAACTGAAAAGTTTTGCAATTGTACGAAAATATTTTTTTTAAAGAACTACTATAATAATTCCACTTTTTAAAAAAATAGTTACTTTTTTTGTAGTCAAACATTAAAGTTTTAAAGAACAGCAAGCCAGACTTACTTTTTTAGTGTTTATTGGAAGTTTGTGGGAGTATACAACAAAAGTGCAGTTAAGATGTGTTTGTACTTGTTTGAATCTCATCAGATGGAGACTTTGGATATCACTTGCATTCAACTCCACAAGGTCTCACTTCCTGTTTGTACTCACTTCCCTGGGTGGGGGTCTTCTTTATTTCTTTCTTTTCAGTCTGAATAGAGAGAAGGAGATGGATGAGGAGGAAAACGAGTCCATGGAGCTGCCATTTAGCCAGGACACTTTTTGTGATCTTTGGAATAATGTGTAAGAAAAAAAAATATTGTCAATGTAGGAATTAAAATGTGTTATTCAAGGAGACATTGACATTTCTCATTTTACTTCCCCCTCCCCCCAGGATCACCCCATCCATCTCCTTCATCCCCACATCCCCCACTGTGCCTCAGTGCATGCTGGTAAGATCACAGATCCGGTTTAATAACAATAATTTACCATCATGGATTCCAGCCAAGATGTTGTATTTATTTTTAATCTTATAATACTGATTACTTCCACCTTTTTAAAAGGACAATCTTTTCGAGCTGGGTGGGGAGATGGACATCAAGGATGGCTTCAACCCGAGTGCGTCCACTGTCCCAGTTACCACAGACTACCCGGGCGATTTTGGGTTCCAGCTTCGGTTTAAGCAGTCTGGCACAGCCAAATCGGTTACTTCGACAGTAAGTTTTCCTTCATCTGACTCTCAAAAATGGCCGGATTTAGTTGTTTGTGCTTTATCTGGCTGACCTTTCTGTCTTCTGTCAGATGTGATAAGATCTCTGTGTTGTACCGTGTACTTGATAATATATATAATAAATGGACCATAGCCAGGACATGCGTTTACCGCCTTTTACTAGTAGTAACAACTCACCAACGCGCATGCGCGCATGATACAGTCTGTATCACTACATCTCCCCCTTTTAAACCAGTGTTTCAAAGCTATTTACAAAATCAAGAATTATGTCTTTTCAAGCTGATACTATTATTTTACTTCACTACAATCTCGTCCTCTCAGAACTATGTCATTCAAACTGGTCGTCAGAACGTAATACTTTGCCTCAGAAGCTAAAAGTTCAGAACGACTCGGAGCATATTATCACCAACCAAACCTGCTTCAGCTTTTCATCTGAAATGCGAGGGAGGAATTTCAGTAGCTACTCGTCAGTCTGTCCAAAGTGCGTAAAATATAAAACTCTAAACCATTAACAAAAAAAGTATCTCACCTTGAAATAAATGTCTCTTCTGTGGGATCTGTCGCGGTGGCATTCATGCGGCGTCTCATTCATTGTGACTATTTGCTAAATTTTAAGCTTCAGGGTCAGTCCCTGCTTTCAGGGAGCCAGTCGTGTTTCTGATTCCATGGTGACTTATCCAGCGGTGGGCTGTGATTGGCTGGTTCAGTGGAGGTTAGGGTGGTCCTGCCTGCAGCACCCGCCTCCTGTGACCAAAACCCCGCTCCGTAGGAGAGGCCTGGTGTGGTTGTGAAGCACAGCCCTGACATGACGGGACATGTTCTGGCAGACTTCCTTCAGAGCTCAAAAGGGTCAATGAGTAAAGAAATGCATTTTAATTCCTATGCTGAGATGAGTAGATCTGACTAGTTTTTATTTGAACAGAACAGTAATTGGCCCACTTGAATCAAAGTATTGACATTAATAAAAACCAGAAAAATTAATAATTAACTTCAAACCAGTTTTGAATTCCCCTTTTAGCTCCAAAAGCCGATGGATGAATCTGACATCGTTCTGCGCCTTTTCTTGCAGTTTTCGGAGATTCTGAATAAGCTGTTCTGCCAGATTGCGAAGACCAGCCCCATTGAAATTTTGGTAACCAAGAAGCCCCCACAGGGCGCATTTCTGAGAGCCACAGCTGTGTACAAAAAGACAGAGCATGTGGCCGAGGTTGTGAGACGGTGTCCCCACCACCAAAACGAGGACTGTAAGTATTGTTAAAACTTTTGATTGTCTCAAAGTACTGGAGTGTCTGGAACGCTCTGTGTCATCTTTCAGCCATGGATCATCGCAGCCATCTGATCCGGGTGGAGGGCAGCCAGCTCGCCCAATACTGCGAGGACCCCAACACCAACAGGCAGAGTGTGACTGTTCCTTATGAGAGTCCACAGGTAGGACCGCCCTCCCGAGGACGGCGTCTCATCACCATGTGCCCGCGCGTAGCATTTCATTAAAGGATCCTGCTCTTCTCCAGAAAAGAACAAGACCACTTGGCAATATATATTTCATCAAACGTTTGTTTTTCAGATGGTAGCGACTTCCATCCAGACGGGCTCCTAAACCCAGTTTTCTTTTTCCGTTGCAGTTGGGCTCAGAGATGACCACCATCCTGCTCAGCTTCATGTGCAACAGCTCCTGCATGGGGGGCATGAACCGCAGGCCCATCCTCACCATCCTGACCCTCGAAAGCTTGGAGTACGTCTCATTTTTTTCCCCCTCGGGCTTGAATCTGCATTGGGTTTTTGGCGTGGCTTTATGAAAAGTGTCCTGGCTTGCGTCTGACCATGTCCCCGGTGTTATCCGAGCAGGGCTCCTGCTCACCTTCACTCTCTCTGATTGGCCCCTCTAGGGGCCAGGTGTTGGGCCGGAGGTGCTTTGAAGTCCGCATCTGCGCGTGTCCAGGCAGAGACCGTAAAACCGAGGAGGAAAATAAGGACAAGCTGCAGAACGGGGCCAAACAAACCAAGAAAAGGAGTAAGTTTGTCCCGCGTTGACCCCCCCCAGGTTGGGTCTGCCTAACGTCCCCGTGTCTGAGCTGGCTCTGCCTGTTTCCAGAGAGCACCCCGGCCCCCGAAGCTTCCACCGTGAAGAAGTCAAAGTCAGCCTCCAGTGCAGAGGAGGACGACAAAGACGTCTTCACTCTGCAGGTTGGTAGGCGGCCGTGCTGCCGCAGAGTGAGCCGCACTCCCAGATATTCACCCCGCTGACTCTCTGCCGCAGATTCGTGGTCGGGAGCGCTACGAGATGCTGAAGAGGATCAACGACGGCCTGGAGCTGCTGGATAGAGAAAGGTGAGGCGTCCTGTGCAACACTTCTGAGAGTAGCCAGCATTTATGTCCAAATATCCAGGAAAGTGACTCGCAGGCCGGGGGGAGCTTTCAGAGTTGCTCTCCTGAAGGGACACTAGAGGCTGCTGTGCAGCCAAAGCTGCTGCTGGCAGGCCGGCCAAAAGCCCGGTTTCCTCATAAAGGATCATCCTAACTTTGGACTCACCTGCCCCGACCCCAGCAGTAAAATCGGCATCAGTGTGAAGGTTTTGGTTATCAAATAACTTCCTCGTTTTCTGGGGAACTAGCAGGTGATGGAAGTCTTGTTGACAGATAAAAAAAAAAAAAAAAAAAAAACTTTTATGAAGCCCAGAGATAGGAGCTAATTGAACTGGGTGCAGTTATGTTGTGCTCGCATTGCCATAAAGACGTGCATGCAGATGCAAAGTTTGTGTCCACAAAAGATAAACTATGCCATCAGAAATGTTGACACAGTCAGCTCCCTCTGACTCTTGCTAATGAGCCCATAGCCATCTATTTATTGATACTTTAATTCTCTCCTAGGTTCTCTGGTTCTACAATAAAGCTGAGTTTAATGTTTTGGCTCCGTTTACGTCGATAGACTCAATGCCTTTCTGTCCGACTTTGTCTTCCAGCCGTAATAAGTCCAAGGCGTCCACCAAGCTGGACGTGGCTGTGCCGTCCAGCGGGAAGAGGCTCCTGCAAAGGGGCGAGAAGAGCGACAGCGACTGAAGGTTTGCATGGGACAGCAACGCCGGACTTTTATCAAAGCCATTTCATCGCCATCCACCTCACCCTCATAATCGATCCAATTACTGTAAAACACCAACTCGATAGCTGTATTTCACCTACTGCCTTGATGTCTGGGTGAAAACAATTATGCATTGCCTTGTGCTAAATAAGGTGTAGTCATTTAAAAAACATTTTCTGATATTTTTATTTTCTCTTTTTCTTTCGATATTCAGGAACTTCAGATCAAAGATTTTTTTATTTTTTTTTAAACCCTAACATGTCACTGCCATTTATTTGGAAAAGATCCAAATTGTTAAACTTGAAGAAAAAATGTATACCTCCCTTTTTAATGTTTGTATTTCCGGCTCAGCAGCAGTATTTTGTGCCTGTTGTTTCTGTTGACATGGAAACGACCAGCGTTGGAATCTAGATCACTTTTTCTAAATCATAATCAGTGGAGCTTTATTTTTACACTAAATCTTCAGGAACAGCTGTTTTGTTTGTTTGCACAGGGGCTGGCAGGAACACCCCAAAATGTGTACCCCCTTTCATTTTTATTTGTTTTTTTATTTGTCAGACCTGGCATTAAAAAGATGGATGATTTGATCTTTTTGTTTGGTTTTCAAGAGAATTAAAAATGATCTCAAGTGGAAAATGTCATCAAATGTCAGTTTGAGCTGATTTATGGTAGATATTTAAATTCTCCCACCCCAAAAAAAACACAGACCCGTGAAATGTATTGGATGTCATGTGTCAGCACTTCAGTTTGTGACCAATCATCCTGCATGGATTTAGTTTGTTTTATTTGCACCAAACCTGTTGCGGCATTTCTCTGTTTATCTTTCTATACCTTCTTTTTTTTCTTTTTTTCTTTATATTGATATGGGATCTTAGTTTTGTATAAGATGTTTATGTTTCTATACTTTTCGTTGTCATTTATTGTAATTTCTTTTTTTTGTACTTGTCATTTTTATACCGAAAGCTTCAACACAAAATAAACAGATTCTTTCTCCACCGGGTCCCTGTGTTCTGTCAACAGAAATATGGAAATAAGGTTTGTGGCGTGGATGCAAATCCAGCTGAATGGAGCTTTGTGATGCGATTCAAATTTAATTACTGGCTGGTGGTGATGCGCACGCTCTGTGTGCCGGGACATCACTTCTTCTAGAGGTGTCTGAGCTCGGCCGGCTGTTCGGAACGCGGATCGATTATCGGTTGTTATTTAGTTTTGTTTTGCCCCAACGGAGCTTCAGATTTCTGGTTGACCGCTTCGGGATTGAGGCGTCAACATGGGAAAGTCGTCGGTCCTGAGCGCCGTCCTCCTGCTCTGCACGGGTGAGTCCTGACCCACTTAAGGACAGGGTCTGTACTGACATTTTTAACGAGTGGATTTGTCCAAAAGTAGCTGGTGTACATGAAACCAGCCCCACTAGGTCATCAAAATGAATAGGCAACTAAAGATGGATATCGGTTAGAATTTTGTTAAACAAGTGAGGGTAGTCTAAACATTAAAAAAAAAAATTGTTGGTTGAATGCATTTGTGTTTGAACATGGACATTAAGGGGTTCTCTGCTATTGCTCCCCAACGGCAGTGCTGATGCACACTGATGCGGAGCAAGAATACTTCACCCTGTCCACTAACCTCACCTGGGAGGAGGCCAGAAGCCACTGCCAGGTAAGAAGAGACCATCAGGGAGTGTGGCCACACAGTCATTTACCGCTAGCTCAAAGCAGGAAGACGGGTTATGAGATCACTGAGGGCATGTTGGTTGATGCTGTGTTCACAGTCTCTGTCCCTCCAGGCGAGCAGGTTTAGCACCTGGTCAGGGGTTAAATATTGCCAAACTAAGCTTCTGTTGTTCCCTGTTGAAGGATTCTTTGTGTTTGTGTTAACGAACATGGCCTCTGACGCCCATCTGGTGTGATGTGAAACTCTTGGCCGTTTAGCTCAGGAAAACAATAACCGAGTTTGACGTGCGCTCAGATGTGCTTCAGTGATCTGGTGACCCTGACTCCATTCAACATCCGGAACATCAGCCAGAGAATCAGCTCCGCCCACTGGATCGGCCTTCGGAAGTACTTCAACTCCACGGGCAACGGCACCACGGGCAACGGCACCACGAACTCCAGCGTGCCCTGGACCCAGTGGGCCGACGGGGCTCCCCTCGTTTTCCAGAACTGGTACCCCGGCTGGCCTGTCTTCAAATCCCCTCTTCCAAAGATCGAGTGCTGCAGCTGCTCGTGCACGTGCCCCGCACGAGTTTCACCCACATCAGCCCCGACGCGCGGCTATACTGAAAGCCCAGATTCAAACAACACAGGTGCAAACGTCAGACATGCAAACACCCCAGATGCATACACCACAGATTCAAACACCCCAAATTCACACACCACAGGTGCATACACCCCAGATTCAAACACCACAGGTGCATACACCCCAGATTCAAATGTCACAGATGCATACACCCCAGATTCAAATGTCACAGATGCATACACCCCAGGATACATCCCAGACTCAAACACCACAGATGCATACATCCTAGATTCAAACGCCACAGATGCAAACACCCCAGATTCAAACGCCACAGATTCAAACACCCCAGATTCAAACGCCACAGATTCAAACACCACAGATGCA